TATTTAAAATAATTATAAAGCTATATTATAATTTAATAATATTATATATTTATATTTTAAATTATATACTTAATTTTTTTTAAAAAAAAAAAAAACTTCTAGGTATATTAATAATATAGATTTTATTAATTACTAGCTTTAAATCTATTAAAAATTATAAAAATTTTCAAAATAGAAAATAAAAATTAATTTAATTTGATATAAATAATACTGAATTAATTCACTTATTTTTTTAAAAAAAATGAAAGACACAATTATTACTTTATAAAATAAAGTTATAAAGTTAAAAACTTAGTGAGATTATTAGATTTTGATTAGAATCAAAGCTTAAATTTAAAATTTACATTAAAAAAAATTTAACTCAGACTGAAAGAACTTTAAATAATATAGTATATATTTTTAAATATTGAAAAAGAATTATTTTTTCAAATTATAAGATAATTATAAATAATTTATATAACTTCTATTTCTAATTTTACAGTTGAAATATAATGAAAAAATCAGAAATACTTATGAATTATTTTCAAAAACTTTAAAGCTATATAAAAATGCTAAATGTATTTAAAATATTTTTCATTAAAGTAGTGAAAATAGAGATCTTAATTTCATTATCAATTATTTACTTTAATAAAATTTACATAAATTATACTTTTAAAATTATGAAAATAAATACAAATCACTTAATATAAGAATATTTATTTTATATTTATTTTATATATTTAATAAAAATCTGAATTAAAATTAATTTCTAAATTAAAATTAAAATTAAAATTTATTTTTATCTTCTCAAATCTATAAAATATATACAATGATTAAAAATTAATTATCAAGCTTAAATGATAAATATATTTAAATAGATATATTTTAATATATTTATTTTAAGTACTAGCTTATATAAATATTTTATAAAATAATAAAATAAATTTAACTGTAAAAAATAACATTAAAACTTAAAAAAAATAATATAAAATATTATCTTTGAATTTTATATCAAAAGAAAAATTTAAATTTAAATTTTAATAAATAAACTATTAAAACTTCAATTTAAATGCAGATAAATAAATATTTAATTATTAATTAAATAAACTAATTCAAATAAAATAATTAAAATACTCTACAAAATAAAGAAAAATCTTTTCATATAATTGATTACTATGTTATTGCTATACAATTTCTGTGAGATAGTTGTTTACAAAGTAAGTTGTTTATAAGATGATTGCTAAATAGTTTTGTGATGTCAAGACCTCAAACTGCTTACTGTTAGGCTCAGCGCCAAGGCTAGGTTTATCTCCATGACATGATAATGCCCCATACGTAACCTAGCGGATTGATATGATCCAGTCACATGATCATGTGGATTGATTATAATTAGAGCAGACTCTGACATCTTTTTTCCCTCACCAATCTTAGTATTTCATTATATAGCAGTTAGCAATGTGGAGAAATTCTTTCTCATGCAGCTTGCATTCACTTTCTAACACTTATTCAAATATCTCATGAAGCATCTGAAGAATCAGCATTTTACATACTTAGAATCAACACTTTATATCATTAATCTCTCATTTCATGAAAGAATACTACATCATCAATTTTTTATTTTTTGAAAAATTATAGATGAAATCTGTTACTACTTACTAAGAAATAAAATCAGTACTATATTACTTATTTCATAAGAAGTTAAAGATGAAATCTATTGATACTTATTTATATATATAAATACTCTAAATTTTTAAATTCTTCCAAAAAATTTAATAATTAGCTATCATTTAATTTTATATTTATATTTTTATTTATTGCTATTCTCTTCTCTTTATAGTACTCACAATGTCTATATTTCTATTTTTTTATAATATTAGTTATAGTGCTTCTTATGTTTTTTTAAATATTTAGTTTAGTCATATCAAGTATTCTTATAAGTTTTTATAAAGAGTTTACTAAAGTATTATTATTATTTTTTTAAAAAATAATATTAATTTCTGTAGCCCAGTAGTTAATATACTATTATAATATAATAGTCAATGCAATAATCAGTATTATCAACATTATCATATAAATTAAATTTTAAATTTTTTTTAATATATTAAATATATAATAAAATTAAAATAAATACTTTCTTTAATAAAGTTTAAAATAAAAACTTTCTCTTCTATAAATAATAAAATTTAAATAAATATTATTTCTATAATTTATTATCATAATTATAAGATTTTATTAAAATATTTTCTTTATTTAATTATTTTTTATATTTTAAAAATTACTTTTTATGACATACTACTACTTTTTAATATTAATAATATATTTATATTTTTCTATTTTTATATTAAATAATTATATAAAATTATTACTATAAAAGAATATAAATATTATATAGTTAATATATAATTACTAATACTTGAAAAGTATTTTTATTTTTTCTTATTAGATAAAGTAATATTATTATATATTTATAAAGAAAAAAATTTTAATAAAAATTTTATATAAATAATTATTTGATTTACTATAAGTGATTTATTCTTAATATATTTAAATTACTAAAAAATATATATAAATTTTTATATATAATCATTTGTATTTTTTAATTTCTAGATATATTTTAATTATTTATAAATATAAACTTATCTACTTTCTTATCTAGTCAAATATATTTTTTATATATTCTAATTTATTAATAACTATTATACTGTTACTAAACAGTTTCAATGAGATATTTATTTACAGAGTAATTGTTTAATAAAGTAATTATTATACTATTGCTAAATAGTATTTATATATTATTATTAAACACTAAGTGAATAAAAATACTAAGTGAATAGCTTCTCATCTTGAACTTAATTAAATTATAAAATTAAATAATTATCAAAGTAGAATTTCTTATATAATTTATATAAATTTATTTTTTAAATTTATTGATAGATTTTAGTAATATAATCAATAATATTATATTTACTACAATGTAATAAAGTTTATTTTTTAAATATTTAAATTTTCTATCTCTTTTTGCATAGTTTGATCAATTGTTTAAACTTTAGTTATTTTTTCTTTTGATTATTAAGCTTCATTCTAAGCTATAAATATAAGAGTTTACTTTTTTTTATACTTTTTCTTCTTAACTGCAGCTTTTAATTTTTAATTTTTCTTTGCTAAGACAGCAGCATTATATATAGTTAGTTAATATCTCTTAATTAATTGATTAAAGATTTGATTGATTGAATTGAACAGCAGCTTCATATACTATTTAATCTTACAATTTTGAAGTTCTAACTATGTTATATTTTTAAATGTCTGAAAAGTATAAAATAACTCAAAGTTATAAAAATGATTAAAGTAATAAAAGTATGAAGCTAAGTATAGAAATATATAAAAATCTTATTCAGATTTAATGTGTTATAGTGTAGTTGCTAATAATATGAATTAAAATTGATTCACTTCAATTCTCAATTATTATTTTATATTTAACTGCTTATTTATTTCATATTCTAATTCTCAGTTTAGTATTCTCATCATAACTGTCTAGTTAGATAGTGTGATGGCGTAGAACGGGGCTCTGTCCAGACCACTCGACAGTGTAAGGCCGCTGGGCTGAAAAGGGTAATTGCAACAGCCTAGCAACGGCATAGCAACCACCCCACGATTATCCCGTAAACAAATACCCGGCGAACAATTACCCCACAGAAACTGCCTAGCAACGACCTAGCAACCGCGCTAAGGAAAGGGATAATGCGCTAAGGATAATGCGCTAAGGAAAGAGGTATATAAACAGAGCCTTCCCCGGACCCGTCTTTTAGGAACCATTTTAGTATTTCATTGAAGTAGCTTACCTAGTTGGCAATCAAACACCTGTTTACCTGCGCCTAGATCGGAGCCGTGACATAAACTTAAAATTAAAAATTTAAAGAAACTCTCATAATATTTAAACTTAAAAATTAAATATTATATAAATAATAAAATTAAAATAATACTATAATAATATATTAATTAGTTAATATAATAATTTTGTTTAAATAATATTATTATTATCTATATACCATGAAAAAATTATAAGTTACTAATTTCTCTATTTTAAAGAAGGAAAAAACTTTATAAAATAATATTATTTATATTATTAAAATATGAAAATATTATTTTATATCATATAATATTTAAAAATATAAATAAACTCAATATTATATATAAATATACTGATAATTAATAATATATTATTCAATTTTTAGATATATTTTATATATTTATTAATTATACAAATTCTGAATAAGTTAATAAAAATAGAATTTTAATCAAATAGATATTTTAATATTATAATACTTATTGAAGTATTTATGTATTTCTTTGAGCTTTAATAAAGTAGAATATATGATATTTAATAATGAAGCTGTATAAGTAATATTACTATACAATACTGCTCATATGAGCTTATCATAGCAGATTCTCTACAACAGATAATAAAGAGCTAATTGATCTGATCACTGTGACAGCAATCATAGTGTGTAATAAATATTCGCATTTATTTTCGCTATTCTGATACACAGTTGCATGGAAAATAGTCAAGACTATCTTTGTATGTAGGATAGAATCGCTAGCTCCTGATACACGGAGGATCCAATCTGGTTGTGGTTGGTCAGCAGTTGGCAGTTGTGGGGCCACACGTTGCCCAGCAGCCGCGTTACCGTTTTGTGATTAGTGTCTATAGATCGTTCTAGCCTTTCGCCCGAAGCGGAAGATTGAACCACTTTCCCAACTAAATTCAAGGTTACATGTCACGTGGAATACGTCATCGATGATGTTGCTTATCTGGAGGAATTGATTAAGCACATTCTGGATATTGGATGTCGAAACCCTTGAGATTATCCCAATCACGTCTTCAATGGAATAGTTTTGCGAACGACCGAGTTGCTGGACCTGTGTTCATTTCCGTTCATTTCCCACGAAGACATACCTAATCTCTATCTAATACTTCCTGGTCAAATGCTGCGGTTGCGCATGACAAAGGTCCATAACGCGTCATGTTTCCTCCATCATCAACTGGATATTTGGATATTGAGACATTGAGTGGAATATTCGGGTAAATGGATTCGATCTCCGGCAGCTTTATTATACCTTTCTACCCGTCACCATCTCAATTCGCATACCCTTGCTCGCTCTTGAAACTGGATTAAATTGAACGCTAGCTAACAAAGGCACTGTAATGCACCAACAGCTCCATTTCAATCGCTTGCTGGGTGGTTGTTTTCTCGCCCCAGATCATCGAAAATTTCCGTCGAGGATCAGCAGATGGCCTTTCCCTCCTTTTCCTGGTGGTATGGCTGGCAGGCGATATATTCAATATTCTCGGGGCAGTCCTTCAGGGGGTCCTGCCAACAATGATAATCATAGCTGTGTACTATACATTAGCTGATATAGCCCTACTTTCTCAATGTTTCTATTACAGGGGACTTACTATCTCTGACAAGTGCACAAAATGCAACAATGCTGGCAGCACAACCCTAGGTGTTTTTCAGAGGGGAGAGGAAGAGGTGGATAATCCATCTGCTCATGGCCAGCCATCGGCGCATTCTCCCTTGCTGGCCAACGGCAACCACCAAATTCCCGAAACCGGACATTTAACAGCTCATGGACCTGAGGACGAACGTGGAGGTGAACATGGCCCTGAACACGAACAAGAGCGGGAACTAGGATTTCATCACCTCCACCACCACCACCACCACCAATCAACCTTTTTACTTTGCCAACAAAACTCCACATTGGATGGCACCCATTTGTCCCCGACAATGCCGTTATTGGATCCCGGTAAACCGACCCCGACCGCCGCCAGCAATACCACCGCTGCACCCCAAGCACAACCCCTCCAGCATACCTCCACCATACAAATTGTTGCCTTCAACATCTTCAGTGTTGCCCTCGTTTGTGCTGCAGGCGTGCTAGGCTGGTACGTCAGCTCAGGCTCGTCGCGGAGCAGGCGCAAAGACCGACTGCCATCTGATAGCCACTTCTCCTGAAGCTGGGACCCCATTTGGGGCCCAAAAATATTTTGGGCTAACCCTTTTTGCCGCCAGGCCCTTTGTTATTTTTGGGGCCAGGTCCGGTAATTTCCGGGCAAGCTTTCTTTTACCTGGAACCTTTCCGAAGGATGGTGAAAAAATGGTTCCCTGAAAAAGGGGGGATTTCCGGTTAATATTTTTTTCCTTTCCCCTAATTCC